ACACCGACCTCTACCACCTGCGCCGCCGCTCTCGGTACACCGACCTCTACAACCTGCGCCGCCGCTCTCGGCACACCGACCTCTACCACCTGCGTCGGGCGGCCGCCGCCTTCAGAGCGATCCCAGCGGCGAGGAGTGGTGTGTGCCATCCGATCTGGCCGGGCAGAGACGAGCCGCCGCCCAGACTGAACTAGCATCACTTCGCGGCGGCCACTGACAGCAGCCTCGCCGCAGGTTCTGCGTCACCCTAGACCCTCAGCGCGCGCTGAGGATATCGCTGCTCCTGCGTTGTGATGGATATCCATGGGAGTGCGTGACGGTATTTGCCGTGGCCGGCAACCAGGCGGGACGAAGAGGCCGGAATGTCTGGAGACCGCTCTGGTATTTTTGTACATTTCCGGGCTGATCTCGATGGGACACGGTGTGTGCGATAGCACGCTTCAAGGTGAACTGACTTAACATTTCTGTCTGTGATTATGAAGTGGGACATTGCTAGAAACCGTAGCCACTGCTGGGCAATGGTGAGCCTCCTTGGGGGGGGGGGGGGGGGTTTCGCATAACGTTACAGGTGGTCATCTGTCTGTTGGGCCGGCCGGACTGGGTTTACACTTGTATGATTTGCTTGGTTGCAGTGCTTATGGCCAGTGACTACGGAGAGCGACAGGTTCCTGGACCAGCTTTACATATTTACGTTGCTAATGCCAGCTTTACATATTTACGTTACGAGCGTATTGTATTTGTCGTGCGAAGATACTGCCGTGTTTGTATGATATGTGTGTATGGTTGTATTGGACGTCACCGGGTGTGAGTCCCTCGTGCATAGTGTGGGCGTGTGCATCAGACGCCCTCCGCTCGGCCTGTGCACTGCCAACCACCGCCAACCATCGCCAACCATCGCCAACCATCGCCAACCGGCCGCGAAGGTCGCGTTATTCACACCTGTGTTGGCTAGTCTGAGGGAAGACGATGGTGGCAATTCTGGGAGCTTTCCACGTCTGGAACGAAGCCCGGCAAGATGCGTTTACGTAATATTTCGACATTTTTGGCAGGCATGTAGAGTGGGTTTGACATGACTCCAGCACCCGCCGTCACGCAGCGTCCTGACCAATGGCAGCTGCCGTGACGCCGCTGTGACGTGCGCCGGCCGCGGGCGGGCCGTCGTCGCCTCGCTCGCTCCGGTGATTCGGCCCATTGGGGTGTCGTGAAGCGCAGGCACCCCGGCGTGGATTGGGCCGGACCGCGCCGTGGCTGTAATGGCATGCGCTGCTGGTTTTTGTCCGTGGCGGTCGGCTCGCGGCGGGGTTTTCCCCGCTGCCTCCAGTGATGCGGCGGACCCACATGCGCGGCGCTGTTGGCGACCGGGTGTCGCTCTGTCCCGGGCCAGGCTCCTGCCGCTCGAGGTGCCTGAGGCGAATTTGCCTGATGGTAGCGTCATTGGCATTGGCACAGGCCCCAGCTTGTGTCGTCTTGCCATGGTGTGATCACTACGCGGTGTGGTATATTTATTACACTGTCTGGTCTCGTCAATACATGGGCAT